TTATGAACTGGCTTTTAACGTCTGCTCCATCCAGAAGTGACACTCATCACTTCTGCTCACGTTTCTTCGGCCACTGCACACACCCCGGTGGGGAGTGTAATTCTCTACCTCGTACCTGGAAGGAGAACTGGTGCCCAGGACCTATGTTTTTCAGAAAGTACCTCAGTTTTGGGAAGCAGGGGACCAGATAGCTCCAGAGGAAGATCCCAGTGACGTCCTTTGGCACGGAGTCAGGACGTCTCTGACTGGGGTCTCCTCACTGACCGGGGCACCATGGAGAGGGGGCGGTGGGTGCGAGGGTGAGGCTTGACGACCTGTGGGTTTTACCGTGAGTGCTCTCGTGCAAACAGCAGAACTCACCCTGGTTAATGAACTGATGGCAAAGGATATTGGATGCTTCACAGAACTGACTAGAAGCCTGGCAAACAAGGTTCAGGAAAATGAGCAGGGCACACCCAAGGGAGGCCAGGCAGGGAGAGCCCAGTCACAGCCATTTGGTCTGCTTAGGATGCTGGGGTGGGTGCTGCTACCAGTGCCACTGCTTGCCGACTCTTGACCCCACTGCCCCAGCTATGAGTCATCTCCAAGGCCTGTCTCTCCCTTGAGAGTCAAAGCCCCGAGCACAAGCATCCCAAGGGCTGAGCCTGCGTCACATGGGGCAGAACAACCTTCACAGAGCAGGCAGCAGTCTATCAGGGATCCAGGCTGAGCTGCTGGCGAGGGACACCTTCACCCTGCTCACTCCTTGTGAGCAGCTCCAGAGATGGGAGAAGGAAAGCAATATGGGAGAGTCACAATTTTTCCTAAAACGGTGGTTTGTAAGCTGGACTGCACAGCCACAGGGCACTCCTGGGGTCCCACATGTGCACAGGCCCAGGGGGTGGGCCACCAGTTAACATATAGGACACCCAGTTAAATTTGAATATCAGACAGACAATAAATGGTTTTTTAGTAAAAGTACATCTCATGCCATTTTGGGATATAGTTATTCTTTTAAAATTTTTTTTTTTTTAAAGATTGACACTAACGACTGTTGCCAATCTTTTTCTTTTTTTCTGCTTTATCTCCCCAAACCTCCCCGCCCCCATACATAGCTGTATATCTTAGTTGCAGATCCTTCTAGTTGTGGCATGTAAAATTCTTTATTTTTCTGAAATTCCAACTTAACTGGATTTCTTGTATTTTTATTTTCCAAACCTGGCAACTTGGGTGTGCTCTTTTCTTTTATTTTGGGGTTTAGGTTAGATTTTCTGAGAATCAAGTTTTCCACTGCCAAAAAATTAAAAGTTCTGAAAGTCATGGCTAGCTCTTCTTTTTTTTCCCACGTTGAAACACTTTGCTGTGGTGGATGCTCAGTTCCTTCTTTCAGCCCGTACATATTCTACGGAGCCCCTACGATGGCCCAGGCACTGTTGCAGACGATGGGGCTAAAATGAGGTGAGTAAGGCAGAGCTGCTGCCGTCCGAGAGCTCTCTCAAGGCCTCGGGGAGCTAGACAGTCAACCACCCATCACGTGTGGTCGGACGTGCAAGGGAGTTAATGCCGCGCAGATCTGGGCAGAGCAGTGAAGGATAGAGGGAAGCAGTATCGTGATGCAGCCGGGCACTGCCACCAGCACCCTGGTCTCCACAGGTCCTTGGGCAAAGTTAATGAGCACAGCATTTTGGAAGACACTGATCCTGTTGGACTTTCTCTCTTCTTTTCCTCTACCTTATTCTAATAATGACTCCAGTAAGACATCAAGTAGTAAAGCAACCAATTTCTGTTTGGTTGACTTAAAAAATATGACATCAGCAAGACATTTCCTTGGGGCATCTTAGGATCTAACACCAGGGTCCAGCCCTAGGCCGGCTGGTTGGGGCTGAACAGAGGACATGGTCTGGAGCCACTTTCAACCGTGTCCTCAAGACTGTCCCAGCCCTTACCAGTAACAGGAACATGGCCAAGAGAAATTCAGAGATTCCAAAGAAGAAGAAACGCTCAAAGGGTAAAATGCTGTCTGCCTTATTAACTCCCAAGTAAACACCTCAGCCCTAAGTGTGGATGAGTAAGCGAGGAGGAGCCCAAGTCTGAGAAGGGCAGGTTCCCTCTCTGTCACCCAAGGAGATGGCAAGGGCAAAGGAGAGTGCTCTCCTATCGTGAACATTGGTTAGTGTTCTTTTTGTTTTCGTTTTTTTTTTAAATCTTTAGAAGAAATTATTTCCTTTCTGGAGAGTCCCTCTTCTGGGAAGTGGGCCTAGCGTTCCATGATGGTCCTTCCACACCCAGTCTGGACTGGGCACCTGAAGGTGGGTGTCAGATGGGCTCGTGGTGGATGGTCTGAGGTTCAGGATACTTGACCTTGGATCCTGGTCACACTCGGCTGCGGAGGTGTGTGGTCTCCAGCATGTGACCAAGCCGCGATGGACTCAGCGGCAGTGTGGGCCATGGAAGCGGGGCGCAGAGGCGGTTGTGTGTAAGTCCAGAGCAACCACGTGTAGTCCAGGGATCAGTGAGCCGACCGCAAGCGTGTGGAAAGCAAGGGGGATGTTTTCTCCTGCTCCCATGGGAGCTAGAAATAGAACTCTGCCCTTTGTCCTTGAGGAGCTGAGGCCTGGCGTGGGTGTCGCCAACCACAGGCCCCTTTGTTCCTCTCTCCACTCGTACTGGCTCTCCTTCCCTTCCTCCCCTGACCTTAGCCCCAGCCTGTGGACACTGGGCTGCTCTTCAGCCGGCCCCAGGCTGGCATCTGGGCGAAGGCGCTGTCTCCATCTCCACCCTGGAACAAAGGGCACGTCTGGAGAATGTGGAGCTCTCCTGCTCCTAGCTGCTGATGAAAGCAGCACAACTGTTTCCTCGGGGCATTAGCCTCGCCACAAAAGCCTTCCTCGGGGGGCTGACCCTGACCTGGGGCCATTGAGAAATGTTTGGTTTCTTCCTGACAATAACTTCAGCATCAGACACATGCTTCTAGGGTTTTTCAAACCTCATCAACCGAGGCCCACAGTAAGAAATACTGTGCATTTTACCTTGCATCCTGCGTGCACATCATATACCAGAGGTTTTCAACGCATGGCCCTGTCCATGACTCCCTGCCCTCAGGCTTCTCCGGGGTTCAGCTATCAGGTTTCCAGGCTGGAGATGGGAGGGAGGGAGGGGAAGGAGATAAGTATTCGTTCCCCATGGAGGTGGCCACAGGCTGGCTGGTCCCCTCCCTTGGCTGATGATCACAGCTCCTGTCTGAGTCCTCTCCACATCACTCTCTCTGTCTCCAAGATCTGGAAACTCTTTCCTCCTGCAAGCCTTCAAGCCTGAGGGTGATAACTAAGCCCCATGGTTTCTAGATCCGTCCCTGCGCTATCTCTTGTGATTTCCCTACACCTCACCGACGTCTTCGTAAATAGTCCCTTTATTAAATGCCCCTCAAATGACCCAATCAGAATGTGCCGTCTTTCTATTGCTATATCCATGTAGTGTGTGTGTGTACATACATACACAGAACACACACACACACACACGCGCGTATATATACACACAAAAGACTCAGGAAATAACCTTCCTTCTTACTCCCCATGAGGCACTCTGATATATGTGATTTTATTCTAGTTGTTAAGAATGCTCATCCCATCCACAAAACTGAGTTTGTGACCCACTTATGGGTCTTGAGCCACACTTGAAAAACATTGCTTTAGGGCCAGCCCAGTGGAGGCAGCTTTTAACTGGCCTGGCTACAGCATCTGGCAGAGGTCAGCATAGAACATGTCAGATGACTCTGCAGAGGGGGTGTATTACGGGGCTCCCCTTGGGAAGGCTGGACTCCTCTCTGGGGCTAGTTCCTTCTGGGGCCGTCACATTCCAGGGGCTAGTTTTCCACTTTGTTGGCTAGAAACCTGAGTTGCTTAGAAGCGTCTGGGATGGCTGGGCTCGGGGGCGACTCACACTACACCGCAAGCATAGATACCACAGGGCTGATTCAGCCACTCATGGTGAGGATACAACCATCAAGTGGGCTGGAGAGCCATGTTCCCCCATCAGCACCCTTTCTCTGGTGGAGAATTCTATCCAGAAAGCCAGGCTGTCATCAGAAGGTGCTTGGTCAGCATGGCTGTAGAGCAGCAGTGTTCTTAGAAGCCCGGAGCACATCTGTGTGGCCTGAGCATCTTCTCTCCAAATGTCAGCCTCACTGCCTCTCCTTTGTCCCCACGCCCTTGCTGACCCATACCCTCTGGCTGACCCATTGACTCTCTTGTTCTGTCCCTTCTATGTCTGAGCTGATGAAGCTTATTTCAGTTCTTGGCGGTGGTGGATGCGGTGGCTGTGTCCATCATGGCCTTCATGGCCACCCCGCAGGTGGCTAGCACGTGTGTTTGGGGAGTAGCAGAGCTCCCTCTACTTCCTCTACTTCACCTTCCAGGTGGTCCAGAGATGGACAGCCAGCGTCGAGCCAATCAGCAATAACCCTAAGGGCATATTTATTGAGCGCTTGGTAGAAAGCCAGGCGTGGTGCACTTTATTAACACAATCCCATTTCTCTCCCATGACAAGCTGATGAGAAAGTACCAGTTTCCCCGTTTTGTACAGAAGGAGACTGAGGCTCAGAGAGGTCAAGTGACTTGGTCGAGGTCATAGCATAAGCCAATTGCCAGGTGGCCCTAGAAACTCTGTGAATGTACATGTGAGCTCTGAAAGGACAGGGGATGTGCCCCCCATAAGCTCTCATTCCCTGAGGCAGGACTGTGCCCCTTCGGGAACTTGCCTTCTCACCCTGCCAGCTGCCTGCAGTGCCCAGGGGTGCCATGTTACCGTGCTTGCTGACAGACATGGATGGGGGACCAGCCTCTTGCCCAAGAGGCAAGGCCAGTGGGAGCCTCAGACCACAGGGAAGTAGCTCCATGGACTTGCCAGACCATGGCAATGACTCAGCTGCCTGGCTGATGGACGGTGGACGGACGTCAGTCCTCACACTGTGGCCCTTCCCTTTTTCCCCGGAACAATAACAAACCCTGGCTCTGTGATTTGGTCACCATAGGAACTAGAAAACATTTGATAACACGAGGCCTCTGGGACAGGAAGACTGAGCAGGTCTGGATAAAAACAACCCTTTTCTGCCCTTTCACCTTGAATCCTGGGCGTCTCACCTGTTTGGAGACGATCAGGTAAATAGCCAAGGGGAGCCACACAGCCACCTGGATTGCATGACCTGTTCCACACCAGGAAGTCTGGGACAGACATAAGTCTGTGCCTGTGGGATCTGGCCCAATTCCTGTCGGGAAGAAATGGGATCTCCAGCACCCCTGTCTGCCTGGGAGGCTGAGTTCACATGGTCTGCTTGCACCTGGCACACAAAGGCCGTGTCTTGGACAGTGTGGCGAACAGGTCCTCACGCTCAGAGAGCTCCTGATCTACTGGGGGCCGGACACACACCTGGACAGTCCTGTTAGGTCCCAGCACACAGCACAAATCACTGGGAAATAGTGAGGGAGGTGGAAGCAGGGGCGGGTTTGGGGAGGGGATGGGTTTGGTGGAATGAACCAGAATTCTCCATTCCCAGCAAGCGCAAACTGAGTGTGACACTGTGCTTGCTCACTTGCACTCGAGGGGTCATGAGTGACAGGTGGGCCCAGGGGACAGGATTCTCTTACAGGCTCGGCCGTCTCTGCCTTCTCTGTCTGCTGCTCTGCGCTTCTCCAGCCCTCTCTGTCGCTTTTTCAGTGCATATGAGGCACCCTCTGTGTCGGGCTCTCCACTTGGACATCCTGGCGTGGAGGTCCCACCCTCCCCTAAGATCAAATAGGCTCACATCCAAACTCATCTTCTTCCTCCAGGCACCAAGAGTCCCCTCTTCCCTAAAGCGCCAACGTTATTCTGGGTTTAAAACCATTCTCCATATCCACACTGTTGCTGACATCCAAACAACCTCCTTCCACGAGAGTCCCTCACATGAGGCCCTCCTCCACAGCCACCACCCCAGGCCATCTTGCACGCCACCACTGTAGCCACCTCCTAGATGTTCTCTTAGTTTCACTCATGCTTCTTCCCAAGTTTTTAAACCTACACCTCAAGCATCAGTCCTCCTCGGGGTCTTGACCTCTGCCCTAATTTCTGGCATTTTAAACTTCTTGTTGGGCATCGCCCCAAGCATTTCAGACTCAAAATGTCTGAGACAGGACTCACCTCCTGCCCCCACAGACCTACTTATCTTCTTAAATTTCCTCTCTTGGTTCATGGCCCACCCAGTCATAAAGCCGGGAAACCTGGTTGCCGCTCTCAGTTCCTCCCTGGTATCCGTCCCATCCCACAGGTGAGCAAGGCCTGTTGACGGTGGCCCAGGAATGGCTTCTGCCGGCGTCCCCATCCTTGCCTGTCAACAGGCCTGGTGCTCTTGTGGACGATTGCACCAATCTCCTAACTTGTCCCTGCCTCCTGGCTCTGTTCCCTCGTCGTCCTCCATGCAGGGGTCAGAATTCACGTTCCAACACTCAGCTCTGGGCACGGTGCTCCTGCTCAGAGCCCCTGATGCTCCTCACTGCAGAAGAGGGACATCATCCCAGCACACTCTCTCTCTCTCTCTCTCTGACACACACACACACATAGCCCGCAGCTCTGGCCACATCACTCTGCTGTCTCTGTGTCTTGCCCTTTTCTTGCATCACCACCTTCTTCATGCTGACTTCTCTCCCTGAAACCTCCTCTGCCCACAACCCAGGGAATTCCCACCCTCCCCAAGCTGGGCTCAAATGTCTTCTCAGCCCCACCCCGTCCCCCAGGTCCAGGGCAGAGTTCATCACTCCCACCTCTGTGCTCCCACAGGACTTCAGCGTCTTCCACACTGAGCAGAAGTTCCTGTTTCCAGCGTCCTCCACCGGCCTGCGAACCACTAGTGCACGTCCTGTTGGATTCCTCTTTGTGCCCCAACATCTAGATCAAGCAAGGTGACTTGTGAATGCTGAGTAAATCCCTGCATCCACCTTCTCAGCCCTTCTTTCTCCCGACATCTTCCCAACTTGCGCTCAGCATCTGCCTGGACCTCCCACCTCTGTCCTCAGCCTCCTTCACATGCCGGGACCACCCCGGCTTCTCGACCTTGCACCCTCGTGAAGATCCTTGTGAGCACATCACAAGCTGGGCAGCCTCTGTGCCTAAGCTCCCGTTGCTCTCCCAGGAATCTTCTTCCTCCCTAGTCTAGCCTCTTGCCCATCTTTTCTGCTTGGCAGACTTACTCATTCTCTGAGGTGGTGCAAACTCCACGGGCTCCTCAGAGGTGCCTTCTCCAGTCCTCTCAGTCAGGGTTAAACCGCCCCCCCCACCCCTTCCTCCCCAGCCTGGAACGTGCATAGCACTCGCCTTCCATCAGTGCCGTGAACCATGTCTGTTTTCTTCCCCTAAACTGTGGGTCTCCGGGGTGCAGGAAGGCTGCCTCCCTCATTTCTGTTTCCCTGTGGTTTTTCGCACCTACTAGCTACGCCTAAAAGGTTTGTTGAAGTGCTGAATCCTGTCATTCCCCGTGCAAAGCCCTGCAGTGGCTCCCTAGGGCCTGTGACAGTTTGGCTACCCCTGGGACATAGAGGAATGGGTGACCTGTCTCTGTCTGTCCCTTTGATCAGCAGGGCCGATGGAGTCCCTTCTGCCGCCCCAGGATACAGGACCAGGAGGGACGAGTGGCTCCCTTAGCTCTCAAGTCAGCCACCCCACAGGAAGACTCAGCCTGCCACGCCTGCTGGTGATCAGCAATTGCTGGAAATTTCCTCAGCTCCCTCCGCAGCAGCCCTCCGATGCCTCCCCGTCCCTCACCATGCCTTCCTTCCATCATTCCCTTCATCCCAAATTCCTGGAGCTGGGTGTGCAGCGACTTCATAGCTGCCCCCACCCCCACCTCCCCTCACACCCTCTCCTTCTCTCCAATCTGATCTTCCTGCATTTAACATACAATCTCTGGTTAGTCCAGTCCCTCCTGTCCTGCATACTCTACAGACAATTACTCATGCAATTCCCCTTGCCTGGAACCCCTCCCTTCTTTTCTCCACTGATCCAAATCCTCCCACGCAGCGGACCCAGCTCTGGGCCGCCCCCTCTCCTTCTCAGTGAATTCTCTGACGCAGAACTGACTCTCTGAGCCACATTACAGTCCTGTTGCAATCAGCAAGCATCACATCGTTTAATATTTAATTATTCTTTGCACTTGTTTTTTTTTTAAATGCACATTTATTTTCTTTCCCCACCTAGATTATAAGCTTCTTAGGGGTAAAACTATTTCTCATGTTGCTAGGGAAGGCAGGTGAATGTAGGCTTCCTCTAAATTCTCTTAGCTTCTTGTTTATTTTAGTAGGATCATCTATTAAAGTCCTAAAGTCTAACTGATGAAATCTTTCTTGGGCAGCTCTGAAAATACATCACAGATTACAAGGAAAGCTCAGACCATCGACTTCCTGGGCTGGGGATTTGACAGACCAGAAGCCCAGCTTCCGCATTTAGCCCAGCTGGTTGGGAGGATTCCCTGGAGGTTAGAAAAATTAGGATTTGCACACTGTGGGAGAAATTGTAGCCCTACTATGCGGCAATGGAGGAATGATGTCCATGAGCTGGAGCAGTGCTGTGATGGTTTCATGACCCTGGGACCTGTGCCCAAGGGAGGTGGATCTACCTGTTCCTCAGGCTGGCCTCACAGAGGAGCCTGCCTGGAGCCTACTGTGTGTGTGTGTGTGTGTATGTTTGTGAGTGAATCCAACAGCCTCGTGATGTCTCATCTGGCACTGGGCACCGTGACCACTCCCTCTCCACAGCCTCTTCTGAGCAGGGCTGGCTTTGAAGAGGGGCTTTAGCGAATTGACTAAGGCAGGGAAACACCTGGAGAATTTTATTTGACATCACTTTGCCCAACAGCTTTCTTTAGGTCAGGCCACACAGGACGTCCTTCAGGTTAGGCACATGTGTCCATCGCATGGCCTAGCCACAGGCAAGTCCATGAGCCCCTGGGGCTCAGTGCCTCCTGGGAACATGGATGGCATGAGCACAGGGTTTAGAAGAGGGTCCCCTCAGCCCTGCTCAATGCCCAGGGCTCATTTTCCTCCTCTCTTCCCCTCCAGATCCTGCACTTTCGTCCACTGCACCTCACGTGACCTCGTTCCTGAGAGCTCTGTATCTAATTGCCCAGCTGCAAACTCATCAATAGCCTCTACCTGACCCATCTGGAGGCTGTCGTCCCCCCTTCCCCTGCCTTTCCTCCCTCTGGAAAACTGGATTCCCCAGCGGTCACCGTGGATAGTGGTGATGGCCCCTGGAGTCGGTGAATGTGGGGGTCTTCTGGAGCCCACCTTCCTCAGGCCACAGCATTGTTTTAACCGTTCACTGAGCACTTTCAGTGTGGGCTCTGGGGAGACAAGGGGGCCGGCACACAGTGCCTGCTCTGGGGAACTTGTGGTGCAGCAGAGGACGTGGGTACAAGTGGGCCATTAGAAGTGCTGTGAGGATAGAGAGATGTACAGGCTGCAAGGCACAGAGTGGGCAATGAGGGCCGTGTCAGGGAAAGTGGCCCAGGGGAAGCCCCGGCCCAGGAGAGGGCTGAAGAACGGTTGGTAGTTGGCTGTGGCCTTGGGGAAATTGTATGCTGCGCAGAGAGAAGCCAGAGAGAACACAGGGTCCAGGGAAGTGCCAGGCAGTCTGTATGGCTGAGTGGTGTGTCAGTGGGAAGAGGAGGGAGTGGAGGCTGGACAGGGGCAAAGGGAGACCATGCAGTGCCTCCAGTCCATGAAAGAGACTGGACTCAATCCAAGAGCAACAGGAGCTGCTGAAGCGTGTTAAGCAAGGGATGACGACATTGAGTAGCCAATGTTGGAAATATTTATTTCTATTCATATAATGGGGAAAATTCAGAAGGAGGCTTGCTCCCACCCAAGTTCGCAGTCAATGAGTAGACTGAAGAAGAGCGGCCTAGAGACCTGCCCAAGGCCCACAGCAAGCAGGGCGGAGCCGGCACTGGAACCCTTGCCTGTGCTTGGGGAGGCGGGGATCTACAAAGAGGGGAGTAAGTGGATAAGCTGGGACTCTAAGCCACCTTGGTCCGACTTAAGCCAAAGGGGACATTACTTATGAGGATGCAGGCCCATGGCAGGACAGTGGAACTTTCAGAGGAGCCCTGATTCAGAGGCAGGATGTTCTCAAGACTCCTTCTCTGTCTCCTTCCCATGCCTGCCTCTGCCCATCTGCTCCATCCCTTCTCTTTGCAGCCCTTCCTCGGGCTCTCTGGCTGCTGCCAGAGCCTGCTTGCCCCACTGACTTTGAGGTGGTGAGTCACAGGCCAGCTCTGGTTTCCAGGTCCAAGTTCCCAGGAGAGAGACTCTGAGAGCCCCAGAGCATCTAGCATAAGCTGCTATGGCCAGCGTGTCACATGTACAAACCCAGGGGCTGAGGCATCCCCAGAGAAGGAGAACTGTGTACTAGCAGATATCCCAAAGCTGTCAAGCTCAGTATGGCATGGTCTCCACCCCTCCTGGGCGTACAGCTATATAGAACTTTATAATCCAGCAGGAAGAAAACACACAGATCCCTACAATCCAAAGGATTTTAAAGAGAATAGCTAATATTTTTGAGCACTTACTCTATGCTGGGTATTTTGCTAAGTGATTCACATGTATTTTCTTACTCAATTCTTGTGGCCCAGTGAGGTAGATGCTATTATTATCTTCAACTTACAGACAAGGAAACGGAGGCACAGAGAATTCTGATTGAGCTTTCCTGTCCAGTTTCTGAGACACAACACTCCAGTCTTAGGACAGAGGAAGACAGGCTGCCTTCCTAGGCAGTGGTGTGCTGGTAAATGTTTAACAACCAGCTCTCTGGGGAAAAAAGCTCTGGTTTATAGTGTTTGCTGATTTCTGGGGTGTGAATACTCCCATCGTGGCTGATTTCAACCTACCAACTTCCCAGAGCCAGTCTGAGCTACCTTCCACACATATGGTATCTCACTCCTTTTGGGTGACTCTGGAGCTGTGTCCAGGAGCTGTGTGATTTAGAGCAGTGGTTCTCCAAGTGTGGTCCCTGAACCGGCCGGCCGCATCAGCCTCACCTGAAAACTTGTTAGACATGCAAATTCTCTGACCCCCCCCGCCCCCCCCAGACCTGCCGAATCAGGAACCCTGGTCATGGAGGGGAAGAGCAGCTCCTTGTGTTATCCCAGCCCCCCAGTGAATTCTGATGCACGTTCCAGTTAGAGAACTTCTGGAGCAATGGGGTAATGTGCCCTTTCGCAAACCCAGCTGGTCCTAGTATTCATCCTGCAGTCGGGAGAATGGGCCTCATGCTCCCAGGTGGGAGAACTCCTTGGCAGATGGGCAAACTGAGGCCAGAGAGGGGAAGGTGTGCTGGGAAGTGGTGGGTGACTGGAGTGGGTTGAGAAGTCAGCCTTGGTCTCCTCTCCCACAAGGTGATGGAAATGGGTGAGGGATGTCTGCAGAGTCCCAAGGTGCATGGTAGGGTGGGAAGAGTGAGCTCTGACTCCAGACAAGTGGCCAGAGCAGAGGGAAGGAGGAGAATCCACAGTCTTCCAGCGCGGGCTCCTCTGAAGAGGGGAAATGAGGAAAGAGGCACATAAAATCACAAGGCTCAGTAGTGCCTGGCCCTGGGCCTTCAAGGCTGGTCCAAAGAGGTTCGGAATCTGAAGTAAGTCCTGGGAGCGATGCAAGAGGGGCTGGATGAGCAATCTCTCTGCCTCAGGTCTGAGCCCAGAAGACCTGAGATGGCTCCTGCAGTGGGAGATGGGCCAGGAGCCCCAGGTCCAAGTCCTGCCAAGCTCTCTGTGGGATGTGTTTGCTGTCTGGTTGTCTCAACAACTTCCCTCAACCCCAATCCAGATTTACTGTTAACCAAAGACAAACAAATCAAGAGCCAAGTAGCGGAAATGATGCAAATTCCATGTCAGCCCTAGGAGGCCGTGAAACACCTGGGCAATCAGCAAGGGTGTGATGTCACCCAGAGAAATACTCGGCTCTCAAGCAACTGTGTTACGTGACGCGGCCTGTGTGCCCTGGTCACATGCGGGAGAGGGAGGTTCCCCGCTGAGCTCAGTGTTTCTGATAGAGAACCAAAACACAAACAGAAACTGTCTTGTCACGATGAAATCTGTAAGTCATGTGATGGCACAGATCTGCCCAAAGTTTTGGTCAGAGAGTGAAGATTCAGAGCAAGCATTATTTAGCAGAATCAGGCCCTGCTGGGATGATGGCCTGCTTTTTTACTTTGGCCGGAAAGTCGGGTCCACTGGAATCTCAGCCACTCTCCTTTCAGGAAAGCAGCTCTGTATGAAAGAGTTTCCTCAGAGGCACCTGCTTGAGAATTTCTCTAGCAAAAATCCTGGAACCAACACCAGCCTTCCCCTTCTGGGCTGCTATGTCCCTGTGGTGTCTCCTCCGGGCTTGGACTCCATGTTGGTCCCCAGGGAGAGGCAGAGTGCCTGAGCTGGCCGTTCCTGCATCCCAACCCAGAGTGGCCCACGTTGGGGTGCTTCGGCAGATGCTGGTTTAAACTAAGGGAAGGTCTGGGCGTTGTGCAGACAAAGCATTCTGCTCAGTAAATGCTGAGCAAAGGCCTGGTGGCAAGTTGGAGGTTTCAGGTAGCAGGGAGGTAGGAGGTGTTGGGGTAGAGGGACAATGACCCACTCCGTTCTCTTGCCCCCATTCTTCCAGGCTCTCACTCTTTGAAAAGCAACTGTGGGCCACCTGGAGTGCTGGCACTGGGTAATGGTGTGGACAATACAGAAATGGGCAGCCAGGTCACCGCCCTCAAGGGGCTTACGTTCTATTTAGGTAGATAAAACTATTACAGCCCAATGCAGTAACAAGCAATGGGGAACAGCATGCAATTTACCACAAACCCAGAGCAGTGAAGCATAGAAGGAAAAGCATCAGTGGTCCCTGTGCTAGACACACTGCACCTGAATTCTAGCCCTGCCACTCACTAGCAGCTGTGTGACCTTGGGCGAGTTGCTTAAATACTCTGAGCACCATTTTATACATCTATACAATGGAAATAAAAATTCCCAACTCACAGAGTTTTTCTGAAAAATGAAATATTGGTTGCAAAACAGCTGGTAAAATGCCCAGCACATAGTAGGTACTTGATAAATTAAAAAAAAATTTTTTTATTGAGGTTATGATAGTTTACACCATTAGCATAATACCCTCAAGGTCCATGCATGTTGTTGTGAATGGGACGATCTTGTCATTTTTTATGGCTGAGTAGTATTTGATAAATTTTAATAATCCTATTAATTCCTTTTGGGGTTAAGATGGGCTATAAAAGATGAACCTTTTATGTCTGGTCTCCAAACTTAGAGCAGATCAGAAGCAATAAAGTGAAGGATGGCTTTAAAAGAGCAGGGAAAATCAACACAGGAAAGCCTGCCAGCGAGGGGATACCTAGCAAACGGACAAAGCAGATGTCAAAACAAAATAGCCCCTGGGGATCATTTAACGTGAAGCAAACAGCCATCCCACCCCACAGACTCCAGGGTCATCCTCACATCACAAGACAGCAGAATGACCATGTTCACAATGAACACAACAGCCTCTAAGAAGCCAGGGATGAGTGTAGCGCGCGTTTAAAAACTATTCGTGGGCTGGCCGGGTGGGGTAGTGGTTAAGTTCACGTGCTTTGCTTTGGCGGTCTGGGTTCAGATCGGGGTGTGGACCTAGCACTGCTCCTCAAGCCATGCTGTGGTGGCATCCCACATAAAATAGAGGAAGATTGGCACAGATGTTAGCTCACTAACAATTTTCCTCAAGCAAAAAGAGGAGGATTGGCAGATGTTAGCTCACAGCCAATTTTCCTCTCTTTCTCTCTCACTCACACACACACAATATTTTCATGCAAAATATTTAACATTTTGTAAAAACATGCTTAAAGTGTGTGGGGCTGGCAAATTTTCAGATATCCTGAAAATTCACCTGCCACAATTTCCCAATGGTTGGATTAGCTGGGTTTTTACTCTACTTCTCATATATTTGTCAGAGAGTTTAGAATCCTGCTATGTCATGGGGGCTTAGACCCCCGTTTACTGGTAAATCCATACATGGTTGGAATATGGTTTGTTCTATTTCCCGTTTTCAATCATTCTATGCGTTAACTGATTGAGGTCAGGGACGCACTCCATCTTCTCTTTGAAACAGCAATAACTGACTATCTCCAGCCGCTCTCACCAAACTGCCCCTCCTTCTATATTCCAGATTTTAGGTAATGGCGCCTTCATCTACCAGGCAGCAATGACGATAGCAATAATAACTGTTCGTGAAATTAGCAGGGAACGGCAATCCCAGGTTCTGCCTAGAGAGGGCGCTCAGCCACAGCCGCTGTCCCGGCGCCCTGGGAACGCTCTGACCCTTGAGCTGCCAAACCTGGGGTGAAACCCGAGGCCCTAGGATTTCCCTGGTCTAGGGACACCCCTGTGAGAGAGGGGGAGTCAAGTTCCCTTTCCATTTGTTGAGCCACGCAGGGGACCCGAGGGCAGGAATGTGACCCCAGGCAGAGGGTACCGGAGCTTGGCTGCTGGTCACACGGCCCAAGGCGAGAATGTTCCCAGGACTCTGAGCAGCCCAGCCACGCTCCTCACACGTCCCGCCTCCGCCCAGCTCCTGACAGGTGGCAGACTGCTGGCTGCTGCCCAGAGCAGGAGGGACTTGGTCGGGAGCAGACAGACCCACCTGCTCCCCTGCCCGCCTCGTCCTCCCAGCCTGGCGTCAGCCTGCCACCCTCTCCCTTGCCCTGTCCGGGGGTCCCCAGCAAAAGGTGCTTTCAACCCCCAAACATATCTCCTCAGTTTTCTATTTGGTTTTTGACTTTTGTTTCATGTTAACGCTTTTTTAAAAAGTATAAAACAGATTAAGTCCTTCTGGGAATTAACCCGTAAGTAACTAAGATATCTCTGTTCAAAAATTCCCACTTGGAGCAATCTGGGAATCTGCATTCCCTTCTCCTTCTGAGCCCGTCAGGGTTCTGTTCTGGAAACACCCGGGGAGCGTCCCCATCTCTGAACCTTTGGTCTTTCCCCCCTCTCTACATCCGCACACCGAGACAGGGGAGGGGAGCCTGGTAGGGAGAAGCGAGCCTGCTGGATTCCGGAGTTTGACTCTATACTGTCGTTTACTATCTGTGTGACCCTGAGCGAGTTATCGAATGGCTTTAGGTTTCGTTTTCCTTATCTCCAAAATGGAAACTGGAACTGCTGCCTCCCGTGTGAGGACAGCAGGAGAAGCCTCCCCTCCCCCACCGGTACTTAATAAAGTGCCCGCCTGTGGTAAGTCCTCATCTGATCCTACTGTGGCCCATTTCTTCCATGAAGGCTTCCTTGATTATCCCAATTGTGGCAGAGACAGCTAACTACCCAGCCCATCCTTACTTCCCTCTTTTTCTTTCCTAGCAAATTCCCAATTTTATTTTGGGACAGCAATGTGCCCAGTTAAGAAACTACATTTCCCAAATCCCTTTGCAGTTAGGGTGGTCAGGGGTCACAGGTATGGCCAATGAGATGTAAATGTCAGTTGGTGGGAGGGGCTTCTGAGAAAGCTCTTTAAAGGAGGCTGACTCAACTGTGCCCTTTCCGCCCTTACCCTCTTTCCCCTTTTTCTTGTCTGGAATGTGAATGTGATATCTGGAGCCACAGTGGCCACGTCATAATCATATGGCAACCTTGAACATGGAAGTCACATCCTAAGTATGGCAGAGCAAAAGAGTAGAAGGAGCCTGAGACACTGAAGTCATGATCCATCAGACTTCAGCATTTATGTTACGTGAAGGAAGAAGAAACCAGTTATTTAAGATTTTTATGACATGTAACCCAACGTAGTCCCTATGGATATGTGGGTTGATGGCCTGCCCTCTTCTCTGAGCTCTAGTCACACATGTAGTCGCAACTGTATTCAGGGAGATTTTGGTCATAAGCCAAGTAGCCTAACAATATAGACTTTTTGGAACCCCATATATGAGGACCAGAAAGTTTCTGATTCACATAGTGTGTCCCCGCCCGCACTTAAGTTGGTTCTCCATCACCTGGTGCTTGTCTTATAGAAGGAATGAAAGACAAATGAATGCTGATTATGAAGCAGAAACTGTTCGCAGGACTTGTGGTGATTTGTTAACTCAAAGGCAGTGTGGTAGGGAGTGGATGAGCAGAGGCCAGCAGACATCCAACCCACCTCTGAGGTTTGGGGAAAACTTAGTCCATCCTCTTTATAAGTGTATGAGTTCTAGACGATGTAGAAGTAATGATTCCTACCTTGGGCAGCATAATTACTTCTTCACATGTCTGCATTCTGCATCCCCAACGAGCCCAAGTCTGCAGCTAAACTTAAAGGCGTTACTGTGCACTTTCCATATGGAAGTGTCTGTGCTAAGTGCTGGGCGGAGCTCAGAGATGGGGAGACCCAGACCTGGTCCTCCAGGGAGTTGACAGTCCCCTTGGGGGACGGCACAAGCGTGTATGATTCCCATATGAGTGTAGGAGATTGTGGAAAGGCAAGCACAGAAGTAGGGAGGGATGGAGAAACAGAAGGAGGAGGAGACTGAGGCTTCGAAGGGAAGCTGCTTCTGAGCTGAGCTCTGGAGGATAAGTGGTATTTCAACAGCGGGCTTGCCCAGCCTGAAGGAGCAGCGGGAAAAGGACCCAGCACAGTCACTGGGCATGGAGTGATTCCAAAATGGTCACAATCTAGTAGGGCTGTAGTGTTGGGAGCCTGAGGGAGTGAAACTTGCGTGCTGAGTGTGGGAGATAAAGCTATGATTGAGTTTAAAAAGAAAAATAATGATGGCCATCATGCACTGGGCCTGTAATACGTGCCAGCTACTGTTGTAAGTGTTTTCTGTGAATTAATTCACAACAACCCTATAAGGTGAGGACTTATTCTGCCCATTTTACAGGTCAGGAAACTAAGCTTTCACCAAGGAAATGTTTCTTTGCCCAATATCAAGCCTCTGAGCAGAGCTAAGATTCAGTCCAATTAGGCTCCAGGGTCCACTCTCTTAGTCACTAGGCCATGGTAGGAAGAGATCAGACTATGGCAGAGTGGGGGTCTTAAACACCACTCTAAGGGGTGTGGTTTTCCTTGTACAGATCTGTGAAATGAGCAGGGGGGCCATCAGAATTAGACTTGTGACTCTGATGCATTCCTCTGGGGCCTCCCTGAGGAAGAGCTGGAGCAGGGACAGAGTAAAGGCAGAGGACCCATTAGGAGACTGGAGTCCAAGAAATATTTGAGGGCCTGGCCTGGGGCAGGGCTGCGGGAACAGACAGGTGGGGTTCGAGGATCTCTTCTGAGACAGGCCAGGGCTGGTGCTAGGGAGCTCTCAGTACCTGGGATGTTAACTGATTGGTACTGAGGGAGCAAGATGAAGATTGTAAAGAGATGAGAAAGGAGGTGGAGGAGCCTGGGAGGAGAAGAAAAGCTGTTCAGATTTGATCACACTCATCCCCAAATTTATCCTATGGATATATCACCTGCATGTGACGTATGGGCAAGCTTATTCACTGCAGTATCATGTGTGATGGCAAAGGACTGGAACCAGGCTAAAAGTCCATCAGCAGGACATTGTTTAAATACACTGTGGTTTATCCGTACATCAAGATACTATGTTTCTGTGCAGCCTGTGAGGTAAGCATGGTTTTCACATTTTTAAATGTTTGGGAAAAAATGAAGAATAGTATTTTGGGATGTGTGAAAATTATGTGACATTCAAATTTCAGTGTCCATAAATAAAATTGTATTGGATCACAGCCACGTTTATTCGTTCATGTATCATCTATGTCTGCTTTCCCACTACAATGGCGGAGATGAGCAGTGGGAAAGAGGCCTTGTGGCCTGCAAAGCCGAAAATATTTACTCTTTGGCCCTTTACAGAAACGTGACGTAGACTATCTCTGGAAAGCTATGCAAGATCGAACCATGAAAATTGCCTCTGGGGAGGGGATGTCCAGAGGACAGAGTCGGAAAGCAGACTTCTTCCAGCGCAACATCTGTAATTCTTGAATTTTGAATCATGTGAATGTTTAACCTATCTTTAAGCCTAATTTGAAATTAAAAAAAAGAAAAAAATGGGCCCTGTTTCCAATCCTGAATTGAAAGAAGAGGGAGGCGCCAAGGAAAAAAGGGTGGCCGGATTCTCTCCCT